GAGTGGGGGTGGATATGGTCGGGTCTCTTTCCCACCACCATTTAAAGCTCATGCACACATTCCCATTAAATAGGCAAAACAGGGAGGTGCTCAGGGTCCCCCCGCTCCCCCCACATTTTTGGGGTTCATCATGAATGTTCAAAGTACTTAAATCAGGGGTGGCCAATCTTATCTGCAAATGGCCGGTGTGTATGCAGGTTTTTGGGATAACCTGTAGGTCAGCTGTTCAAACCCAGGTGTGAGGACTCCTCAGCCAACCAATCCTCTAATTAGCAATCTAATTATGGAGTTACATTGAAAACCCACATACACAGCAGCCCTTTGCGGATAAGATTTGCCACCCCTGACTTAAATGAAAAACCAACGTGATGAGAAAAAATACTCGAAAACAACAGCTCCTGGTGAGACACAAATCAATTTTTAAGTCAGCAGGCCTATTATTTCTCTAAGCCTATTTCTTGCATTGAGAAATTTGAATGTTTGAATGATAAATTTATGCTTCATGAACCAGATGAGACTGGAATAAGGGCTTACAGATTCAAAATCAGCTGGCAGGCTTCTCAAAACCAATCAGTTCTACAGAGCTTGATCATGTGCGATTACTGAAAAACTGAGAATGAAACTGATAAAATATGCCCCTCTGGTTAGGATCAGTGACTTGCCCAGATATCTCCACAGTCAGGTGCTCGAACAGGGAGGTGGGGCCAACCGATGCCTTTTCCCTGCCGTGGAATCCCTCACCATTTGTTTGCGCAATTCGTGATTCTAAAAAGGGCACTTGAACCATTAAGGCGGGTGCAGTTATTTATTAAACATTCTTTTCAGCAAGTGCGTGTCGTCTCTTTCTTATGAGTCAGATTTACATTAAATGTTTTTTTTTTTTTAGCAATAATATCCCGTTTCCAGGTTAACACAATACGTAGTTCACATTGCGTAACATACATATTCACATTTTCTTCTAGGTCTATTTTACAGCTTCTGTATATATGAAGTACAAAAACATCTAACAGATCTAATAATCCTTCACGCGTGTAACTTCAAATATCTCATTGACCATTTTCATACAAACTCATAAAGCATAAATAGTTTTACAACTATAGCTGGTGGGAGATAATGTGGGAACTGAGCTAACCAGTAAAAACGCACAATAGGTCATGCAACACAGTACAGGTACATGCGCAGGTAGGAGAACGCGTGTGCCGAGTTAATTAGCCCTTCTAACAAAATTCATGTGTCAATGTTAACTATAGCTGCTTTAGCAAAATAATTAACTAATATCTTGTCATGTCTTTATCCTGTTTTAAATGTGTTTTACACATGACTTTCCTGAAATATAGGAGAGAAATGATGACGCAATCAACAGCGTGTCGACAGTTCCGCGTTCCCTGCAGTTACGAGAAAATGCAAAACGAAGAGACAATCGCTACGTGACTCTGCCCCCTGCTGGTCTGGAACAAGTATGACAAGTCGATTCCGTAACGGAAAAACTTTTGAAGTACAGTACACAGATTTTCTCATGTCCTGTGGGCACATATTTCCCCCAAATAGTAACAATAAATGTATTCTAAAGAAAAGACAATAATCACAAAAAATATATATAATATGTAAAAACTCAAATGTGACACCTTTGTGGACATCACACGCTCCCCAGCAAATTCTGTTTTCTTGTTTTAGTCTTTAACAAGCAACAGGAACTAGCAGTATGTATGGCGTAAGGCATGTATGTAAATGAGGAATAAAAGGTGGAGTATGGATTTAGTGGAGATGGCCTCTTGGATTGATTTGCACAATTCTCCGGACAGCTGCCAAAAATGCTGGTAGTTGCTGGTAGTTTATTTACTTTATTTATCCTTTATTTTACCAGGAAGGTTCCACTGAGATACAATATCTCTTCTTCCAGGAAGTCTTGGCCAAGATGGCAGCAAATAAGAAAAATCGGACAAATCTTTCATATAGACACACATACAGAGGTGATTAATATAAACACAAACTAAAACACAAACAAGTAGTAAGGGGGTAATTAACCTTAATCCCACTTCAAAGGGTGTGTCTGAATACATAAGAGTTCTGATTGGTTAGCTCATTATGTACAGGGGTTGTGCAAAGTTCTGAGTTCATGAAATGTGTCCAATTCCAATCATGAACTGGAATCTGAATTGAACAGGCACCACCCCACAGGATGCTGAATTGGAATTTGAATTGGAATGGCAAGAAGAATTTTATTAAATTCAGTTCAAAGAAATTCAATGCAATCACACAACACATAAATGTTATTTAATCTATCAAACATAAATAAAAATAAAAGAAATTTACTTTCCAAATAGTAGATGCATATATTGACCTCGTATGAGTGAGTCAAATGTTATATTTGCATGATTGTAAAAGAAAATTATGTGTAAAACGTTTAGCTTATAGGCACAACTATGCAGCATATCCAGCCATCCATTTCTCTCCCCTTTTGTCCTAAGCAGGGTTGCGGGGGGTCTGGAGCCTATTATGGAAGCTATGGGTGCAAGGCAGGGAATAACCCAGGATGGGGGGCCATGTAGTGGAGTGCTTCAGAAATTTAATGCCAAGAGGGATTTTTATTTTAACGATTCAACACCTGTGCTGTTAATACCAAATGTTTCATTATTATGAAAAAAAAGACATAAATGTCAAGTGATAATCATTCTTTTATTGAGATTTTTTTTAATAATGCACCGTCACAAAGAGACAGACTGAAGAAAAGAAAGACTAACATCTTGTCCAGGTTCTTGCTTGGCATGTTACTAGTATGCCATCTAGTGATTGTATTGTATACTGCAACCAGAGTTTGCACATAATAGGTAATGCACCTATGCTCTGTTTATACATATCACAGAAATGGAATTTCAAGGCACAAAAGACCAAAGTTTGTTTGTTTATGCCTTAAAAGCTCATGTAGAGGACACAAGCATAAGACATATACAAGGGAGCAAATTAGTGAAGTCACGAAAATCACATCTCATAGTAACTTTTGAGTTCCCTTAATTTTACATTTTTAACAGTGGACCCAAGTATTACTCGCGAATTTGCACATTTGAGGGGATCTTCCTCCCCCTAACCCTCGCTAACGTGACTGTAAGGGGTGACTGTAGTTTCATATCTTCATGTTTCAGGAGTACATGGTTAATTGCAACCACTGAAAAGGAAGAAACAATAAAGATCCATTAAACATCGTGTAATATAAAACTGCACCCTTAGTTTGAGATTGAATTAACTTAATAGAACCAAGTGAATGAGCCATATGAAACAATCCAATATGGAGACACACACACACACAGGTTTGTAATTATATCTTTGTGGGGACACAATGGACAAAACTCTAACCCAACATGACAACCTTTTCCCCTAACCTATCCTAACCTTAACCATAAGTAACCAAACAAAATACAAGACTTCTGCCATTTGTAGTTTTTTGATTGCATTCACAGATCTTTGTGGGGACCTGTCAAATGGCCCCACAACATGAAAGTAACTGGTTTTTATCACATTGTGGGGGACATTTGGTAATATAAACAGAATGGAACACCTGAATTGAATGATTAAAAGGTGTGTCCCAGTACTTCTGTCCATACAGTGTATGTGTGTGTGTATTTTTTTTTACCTCCTGAATGTTGACATTGACAGTTCCATTGTTGTCCTTGTCAAGGGTCTTGAATGCACCTGAAAGTGTATACAAAAAAACTGAATAAATGTTGCCAGTTTGAAGGAAATAGTTGAAGTTCTTCAGAGGATAAATCCATACTTACGGCACATGGCGTCCAGCCTGACCAGGCAGCCAATGTAATTATCAAAGTCCATACTCCCATTTTCGTCAGAATACCGGCGAGCGATCATCTGGAACAGCTGATCATTGAGAGGGAAGCCTGTTTGCGAGGGTCAGAAAAAATTTATAGAAAAATACTCATGCACATTTACATATCATTTACATGAACAGCCCCCCCCCCCCAACAACCCTGCCCAGGATAACTGNCCTCGGGATTCCCCCAGAGGAGCTGGATGAAGTGGCCGGGGAGAGGGAAGTCTGGGTTTCCCTGCTGAGGCTGCTGCCCCCGCGACCCGACCTCGGATAAGCGGGAGAAAATGGATGGATGGATGGATATATGCAATATGTAAAAACTCAAATGTGTCACTTTTGTGGACATTACACACTCCCCAGCAAATTCTGTTTTCTCTTTTAAAGTCTTTAACAAGCAACAGGAACTGGTAGAATGTATGGTGTAAGGAATGTATGTAAATGAGGAATAAAAGGTGGAGTATGGATTTAGTGGAGATGGCCTCTTGGATTGATTTGCACAATTCTCTGGACAGCTGCCATTTTTGTTGCTGGTAGTTTATTCATTTTATTTATCCTTTATTTTACCAGGAAGGTTCCATTGAGATACAATATCTCTTCTTCCAGGAAGTCCTGGCCAAGATGGCAACAAATAAGAAAAATAAGACAAATTATTAGAATTTGAATGACAATAACAATGACAGTAGGAATAATTTAATTCAATTCAGTTCAAAGAAATTCAACGCAATCGCACAACACAGAACTATCTATAAAACAAATAACTATAAAAGAAATTAACTTTATAGTTAGTAGATGCATATATTGACCTTGTATATTTATGAGTGAATCAAATGTACTTTACATTTGCATGATTGTAAGAGAAATTATGTGTGAAACTGTTGTTACGTGCCGTAAGTTCTAGGAGGAGCCCTGCCGACTCTCCGGACCTCCCTCCCTCGCCGCCATTCGCTGGCTGCATCTTGGCTCCGCCTTGCTGACCAGACCCCGCCCACGGCTCCTCCAATGCGTCGCGCGTCACTTCCTGGTTCCGGGAGCTGAAAAGCCGACAGGAAGACACCTCAGGAGCTCTGCTCGTTTTGGTTTTTGTGATTGGTTTGCTTATTGATTTGATTATATGTGTATGACTGGTTTTGGCTTCTGGACTACGACTTTCGCTTCTTCCCTCTCTGGTACTGTTGCCCTGATTTGTTTGATTTGCTGGTTTTCTGATCTCCCGCCTGTCTTCTGACTATTCTTTTGCTCGCCCTTTGGATACCGTGTCTCGCCCTTTGGATATCGTGTCTCTGTACATGTCTTTTTGGTGCGTAAGGAGTGACTGCCATTTTGTTTTGCGACCGTGGTGTTTACTGTGTGTTTTGGATAGGGAGCCAGGTTTAGTGTTTGTCGTTTTGTTTGCTTATTTTCACTTAGGGATTAGCTCAGTTTGGGACGTGCTCGTTAGTTGTTTTGATTGTTATTTTTGGCGTGGGTCACTCCCGAAGTTCGTTGCACCTTCTTTTTGTGAACGTGTTGTGAAAAATAAAAAGAACATAAAAAAAGATCCCTCCTGTGTCCCTTGTTCCCGTTCCCTTATTCCCTGGTTGTCTTGTCTTCCCCTCTCCCTCTCCTCTACCTTTCTGGCGGTCCCTGACCCTAGACAGGGGATCGTAACACTATATATAAAAATTACGTTATATACCTGGTACCATGAAGGATTTTGATGGAAAATTTATTATGGGGGAAAAAAAAAACATGACAAGTATCAGATAATCACTTTTATTCAGATACTTTTTTTTTGTTACAAAAAAAAAAACCACACTGTCAGACTGAAGAAAAGAAAGACTAACATCTTGTCCAGGTCTTGCTTGATGTTACTAGTATGCCATCTAGTGATTGTATTGTATACTGCAACCAGAGTTTGCACATAATAGGTAATGCACCTATGCTCTGTTTATACATATCACAGAAATGGAATTTCAAGGCACAAAAGACCAAAGTTTGTTTGTTTATGCCTTAAAAGCTCATGTAGAGGACACAAGCATAAGACATATACAAGGGAGCAAATTAGTGAAGTCACGAAAATCACATCTCATAGTAACTTTTGAGTTCCCTTAATTTTACATTTTTAACAGTGGACCCAAGTATTACTCGCGAATTTGCACATTTGAGGGGATCTTCCTCCCCCTAACCCTCGCTAACGTGACTGTAAGGGGTGACTGTAGTTTCATATCTTCATGTTTCAGGAGTACATGGTTAATTGCAACCACTGAAAAGGAAGAAACAATAAAGATCCATTAAACATCGTGTAATATAAAACTGCACCCTTAGTTTGAGATTGAATTAACTTAATAGAACCAAGTGAATGAGCCATATGAAACAATCCAATATGGAGACACACACACACACAGGTTTGTAATTATATCTTTGTGGGGACACAATGGACAAAACTCTAACCCAACATGACAACCTTTTCCCCTAACCTATCCTAACCTTAACCATAAGTAACCAAACAAAATACAAGACTTCTGCCATTTGTAGTTTTTTGATTGCATTCACAGATCTTTGTGGGGACCTGTCAAATGGCCCCACAACATGAAAGTAACTGGTTTTTATCACATTGTGGGGGACATTTGGTAATATAAACAGAATGGAACACCTGAATTGAATGATTAAAAGGTGTGTCCCAGTACTTCTGTCCATACAGTGTATGTGTGTGTGTATTTTTTTTTACCTCCTGAATGTTGACATTGACAGTTCCATTGTTGTCCTTGTCAAGGGTCTTGAATGCACCTGAAAGTGTATACAAAAAAACTGAATAAATGTTGCCAGTTTGAAGGAAATAGTTGAAGTTCTTCAGAGGATAAATCCATACTTACGGCACATGGCGTCCAGCCTGACCAGGCAGCCAATGTAATTATCAAAGTCCATACTCCCATTTTCGTCAGAATACCGGCGAGCGATCATCTGGAACAGCTGATCATTGAGAGGGAAGCCTGTTTGCGAGGGTCAGAAAAAATTTATAGAAAAATACTCATGCACATTTACATATCATTTACATGAACAGCCCCCCCCCCCCAACAACCCTGCCCAGGATAACTGTTTAGAAGATTGAGGGAATTCGGTAAAGGAGACTGGACTTAATAGTCTACTTCAGAAGCAGTACATGCATTTACATATAACACTGATATAAAGTGATTTTGGTGCCAATGATGTCTGAATGGTTTTATATTAAGTTTATGGTGCTGATTAAGAATATGACTTTGGTTTTGCCAGATTGGTTCTAGTTAGAGATATTTAATAGTTAATTAACGCAACATGTTTGAAAAGCATTCAGAATTGCAAGAATATTTATTTTAGTTAGTAAGTAAACAGTCTAATGTCATACAAAAAAATTAAAAATATCTAACAATATAAAAAGTTATGTTGATTAATTAATACAATATTTAGTTATTGTTAGTAATGTTAATGCTTAAAAAAAAATAAAAAAAATACCACGGCTGGTTGAAAAAGACGACTAATGTCTACGAAGTGCGATGCAACCTTTGTAATAATAAAAAAAAAAAATTTAAAAGTCAAACTGGCAACAATGGGCTCTAAAGCCATTGACTCACATATCAGGGGAGAGAAGCACAAGCGTTTTGTCGACAGTCAGGCAACAACAGACGCCATTCAGTTGTTTGCCAGTCCTGCAAGTACAACCTCTACAGATAGGCCTACACCTGCTTTGGCAGTGTCTCCGGATCCCCGAACAAGCAATGCCTTCAGTACGTTCTGCTCAACCGACACACTGAAAGCAGAAGTGCTATGGGCTTTGCAAACGGTTAGCCAACATCACTCCTATACATCCAATGATGACATTCACACTGTGGTGAGCAATTTGCTGGAACACAGTTAGTAATTATAGGAAGTTGTGGCCTACATACCCTTCACAACTCATTCAAGACTGGTTTTGAAGTGTGGATGGTGGAGAAAATGCTCAAAGTACTACATTTTCTTTTCCACTCTGCACCAGCCAGAAGAGAGGACTTTACAATGGCAACATCATCCTCAAGATTCCCTCTACTTTTCTGTGACCATCGGGGGCTCGAAAATTTTCCAGCTACCGAACGAGCATTGGAAGTCTGGCCCTCTATTGTGAAATATGTGGACGTGGTGAAGTCAAAAAAGGTGAAAAACCCAAGGACATCTTCTTTTGACTGCATTTGTGAAGCCTGAATGGATCCCCTTCTTCTGGCCAAGCTACATTTTTTCATGGCCCTATCACGAGCATTTCAACCATTTCTGGCTAAATACCAGACAGGTGTTCCCATGATGCCCTTCCTTTGGAAGGACTTGGCAGATTTGATCTGGGGAAATGTTCACCACAACAGTAACAACAGCAATAAATGAACATGCAAACACGCACATGTGAACTTAACTCTAATTTTATTTTCAGACTCTCCTTCAACGCTTCATCATTCATTTCATTACCTAAGACACTGTTAAAGAGTCAAAAGACAGACAAAAAGCTATTGCATTTGTTATCACACACAAGTCGCATTGTGGGGAATGCATTATTTTCATGAATGTCCATTATCTCAAAAACTAGAACCAATTCAGGAAAAGTAATGGGATTTTTGAATTCAGCACCCTCAAAATACCCTAAATCGATTCAAAAAACCTTGGCACCTGAAAAAAAATGACACAAAGGGACACAAAACAAGTGATTGTCTTAGAAATTAAGAATTAGTACTGCAATTTTTTACTAAAAATATAACTGAAATATTTCAATTTAGACTTCAAGTTAGAGCTGCTACCCACTTAAACTTGATAATAAAAAAAAAATTGCCATCTCAATTACGCACACAGCATTATGACTGAAGTGGATGAAGGTCCAATAGAGAGAGAGTGAAATCTTCAGTTGTGTGGGAGCACTTCACATTAATTAATGAATGGCAAAGCATTGGAGAACATGTATTGCAACAGCATGACTGCAACGGAACAACATCATACAGGAAGACATTCACAGACTTACCCAATATTAAAGGTTAGCAACATATACCTATAAGCTATAAACTTCCATTTAGCCACTTGTTGGCCTCTGTTCTCGAGTAGCCTAGCCCAGTGTTTCCCAACCTAGTCCTCAGGGAACGCCAGAAAGTCCACGTTTTTGCTTCCTTTCAGCTCCCAGCACACCTGTACCAGGTATTCGGTGTTCCTGATTGGCTGGGAGCTAGGAGGGAGCAAAAACGCAGACTGTCCCGGGTTCCCCGAAGACTGATACAATGACAATAAGCAATCCCAAATTTAAACGTTTAAAGACAAAGCAATGGAGAAAAAAAATATACACACACACACACACAATATAATGTTCTCTTGGACATGGACATAGACCTTAACCATTAACATTAATTCAAGCAGTATGTCTGAAATCACAGAGCCTTACCATGAATATTCACATAGATAAAGAGACATAGAAAGATGTCAGTGTGGTTTTCTGTACTCACCTGCAGCTCTGAAAGCTTTGGGCAACTCATTTCCTTCAATGGTACCTGAACGGTCTGCATCATACGTCTTGTATATACCCTGAGGAGAAATTCAAACCAACATATTCATACATTTTACACACACACACACACACACACACACACACTTCTTCCAATTTAAATGGGGACCGTCCATTCATTTCTATGGGAAAAACCCTAATCCCAATCAACACCCTTAACCTCTACCCATCCCTAACCTTAACCATAAGTAACCAACCCAAACACAAGACTTTTGGCATTTTTACTTTTTTGATTGCAGTCACAGACTTTTATAAAGCTGAGGTTATCCAAATGGGGACCTCAAAAGATGTCTCCAAAAGTAGGGAAATTTCAGGTTTTACTACACTTTAGGGACAATTTGGTCCTCAAATGTGATCTATGCAAACCCAAACCCCCCCCCCGCCCCCACACAAACACACACACAGGAATGGGAAACATTAAGTGCAGGTGTGAAGTGCACTACTAGGACAGTTCGTGTCAGGCTCCTAGAAGCAGGACTGAAGTTCCATAAAGCAAGGAAGAAGCCCTTCATTAATGAGAAGAGAAGAAGCAGGCTGCAGTTTGCAAAAAAAATTATATATTTATATATATATATATAAAAAATATTCAAACCATATGATGTTGGTATACAAATAAAGTTTATAATAAAGAATAAAACCCTCATCAATACCTGCCACCTCTTGATGTTGTTCCATAAATACTTGAACTCATGGAATCCCAACTTGCCACTGCTGTCACCCTGGTTGTTGGAGTGAATGGAAAACTTGCACACAATTGAAAGATTTGTTCTACTGCTATTATTACTAAAATGTTGTAGTATATTTTTTACTGTCATGCACATATTTTAGTCATCCATAACTATCCATTGTTCAGTCTATGCTGCTTTTTTAAACTATGTATTCAATATCATTAATTAGGGTGAATATTTTAATATGATAATATGTTATTAATCGTTTAGGCACAAAATAACAGCTTTGTTTCTGTCCACTGTCACTTATCGCATTATCACAGTAACAAATTACAAGTCCCTATAAATAACTTAAATAATATAACTTTGAGTAGGATTTTATTTAAAAAAAGACAGATCCTACTCATAAAGATACTGCATTCTTAAAAAAAACACGACTTGCTTCTCACAGGATACCAAATAGAAGAGGTGCGGAACTGCAAGGAGTAATTTGACAACTGATAGTGTGCCTAGGTAATAGAGTTTGACAAAAAAATAAAGCATGAAATAAATTCTTTTGAATTTGTTGATTCATCAAAGTTGCTTTTGATCTTTTCGTAATTCTGTGGCTTGGCTGTTTGTGATCTTCTGTACAGTACATGGTCAAAATATAAATAAATTGAATTTATACTTAGGAAATTTACCTGTGGCTTATTTTTTAAATTTGTCATTAGCAGCCTAATCACAGCTTTGGTAATGCTCTGGCAATAACCAATAGCCATCATGCTCTGCCGATAACCAATAGCCACTATGCTCTGCCGATAACCAATAAACTATCATTTATCACTTTCATGTTCTGGAAGGATACATCCATGACCGCCACCATGCTCCGGCAAGATTCAAGGCTGAAGCCGTCAGTTTTCAGGTCGGAATCTGAAACACAGAAAACCCCCCAATTCTGGTTACTAAAACTAATGGAAGAGAGACCACAGGAAGGCAAACACTGCTTAAAAGCAGACAACAAAAAAGCAAAATCAAATTCTCATGCAAAAAAATAGCATGAAAAACAAGCGTAATTAATAAAAATATACAGAAGGGGATATAGAAAATGGATGGATGATTGGATAGTTAATTAAACCAATATATAAACCCAAAATAAAATGGATAGAATGATGCAGGGTGAAAGGTTAACTATTTTCTGCACAGTACATGCATGATTTAAGCAGGAAAAGCTGTAAAATAACATTAAAAGTGACTGAACTACCATTGTACTTCCAATTTTATTATCCACAGGCTTGACAAGGGAAATCAATAAAAGATGCATTAAAGATGCATTAATGCAACATGTATTAGAATACAAAGACACATACAATGGGCATGTATATCTGTTAATACAGCTTACGCTTGCCGATGATTTTGTTGAGTATCCCCATCAGTTCATTAGGGCTCACCTCCATGTCCTGGGGACAAAGAAAAATATATTAATGAACAGATCATCATTGATATGATGGTGAACTGGAAAGAGGAGTAGAACACTATTGTTCCTAGTAGATTCAGTTTTAAATACAAAATGAAAATGTAAAGTTAGGATCCTTACATTATGGTTTTTGGTGAAACATGATGTAAGCTCACTTTCAAAAATAAAACACCAATGCAAAAAACATACTGGGGTATGAATTATGAAATTAACATTTTTGGAGGTGTATGGAATCCACTTGCAGAGTCTCCGCAGTTTCAGCAAAATGGTGGTTTATTGAACAGTAAAAATAATATAATGTAAT